TCGAATTCGATTCTTTGCTTTGATGGCGAAGGCCCTTGGCCTTAAGGGTGTTATTTCGAACTTATCGGAATAACGACCCGTCGTGATTCGAGCAAGGTCGAATCTTTCTTTTGCTTTGATGGTGAATACTTCTCAGTGAAGTCCCAGTTTGGTCAGCCTTGCTTGCGTCGAGTGATTCGGCACCTCGGATGCGAGGAATCGACACTTTGCACAGGCTTGCATTACATGTGTTGCAGTTTTCTGTTCGATTTCGGCCGTTTCACTCGAGGATGCCTCCGGCCGGGAGGGTTTCGGTCGTGCCCAAGTGGTATTTGGTTCTTCAGTCTAGGAGAATTGTTCCTAGCCTCTTCCTGGTGGTTTTGAGAGTAAGAGAGATTGGGTCGCAGCACCTTCCTCCTTGTCTTGGGACATTCAAAGCCGATAGAGCAAGGAGTTTTGGATCTGACGAATCTGTTTGGTTTCTTAGCTTTGATCTGGGAAGAGTAGGAATTTTCACTAGGAAATCCCCACAGACGGCGCCAAATTGTTTGACTCAAAAATTTTTTAATTCTTCTTGAGCAAATCAATCAAAGATGGAAGGGGTAAATCGTAGTCAAACTTAATCAACACCAGACCAAATAGAGTAAAAGACAGTAATTGAATACCAGATGAATATGGCATTGGCAGATCTTATTTAAATTTGAATATTGCCTTCCTTCTCCGTAGAGGAGGAAAGAGGATTACAAAATACTTCGGCTCATTCCGGGTATAGGGATGGGGCTTCCTCCATTGCCCTAGATATAGTGGAACCATTATCCTTTTCTTGATGTAGAACTCTCTGTCTCTTCTTTGGTTTTGATGGTTATCGAGAGAGTGGTCGAAAAGCTCCCCCCTCTCAAGCTTGCCCAAGCATGTATATATATAGTTGAAAAGATCAGATTACTTATGCCACGCCTTTGGCGTACCTGAGGCGGTGGGGTTTTCTGGTCGTGGGGTACCTCGCCCCCGCGGGTCTGTCCAATCCCTTAGAGAAGGGGGGTGAGTTTAACTTGATTCCTTACTCAGTGGCAAAAATACGGTAGAGGTCGTCCTAACCGAGGCAATCAGATTTTGACCAATACACACGCGTGTTGGTCTAGGCTAGGAAAACCAACCCTTTTGACAACTCTACTGATAGCCAAATTATTTGCTTAGTAGTATTGAGTATCAAAGTATATATGATTACGGGAGATTATTTACTTTCAGTAATATTACGAAAGAAAATTACTGCTCGAAACAAGACCCATGAAAGTTTACCTTATTAACTATTTTGCAATCCTATTTTTCAAGAGTTTAACTTATATGGGTGAGGTGTTTGGTTTGTTTATATGGTTTTGGCTCATTTTCATTCCAGTAACTAACTTTTGAGATTGGTAGAAGTTACTTTTATATTACTATAAGTTATAAACTCTTTTCAAAAGTGTCATATTTGAAACTTAAAAAACAAAGGAAACATGGACGAGGCAAACTTCTCTCTGTATATTTCTCTGAAAATAAGAGGACTGAGTGTGGGGTTTTGACTTGGACTGACACCCTTACACGCAATACTGATCCAATAATAGAGAGTCGCAATAACCTGCGCTGGAGACCTCCACCAATTCTCCCATTCTTCATCTCCTATGACTGTCCCTCATACCACTAGTTTATTTAGCAGTTGCTATGCTCCAACTCGGCGATGAGCGTTTTACGCCACCATCTCTACAGCCATAGATCTTCGCTATCTTTTGCGACCATTGCAACCACTTTTTTAACCTTTCTTTTGCTTTCTTCAGCTCTTGGCTTACACCCTACTCGTAATCTCAGTGAGTTCATAACCAACATCTAGCTTGCTTTTCTTAATTTGAATTGACTCACCTTCTAATGAGTAATTAATTAATTAATTTACTAATGGAACTACTATATATGTTTTGTGAAGCAGGGTTGATTGAACGAGTTCTCCTTATTACACAGCAAAAACTGAGTACTGGACCAGGTTCGTCGCCACCCACGTCTAGATCCAAGTGCGGACGGTGTTCACCATGTAAACCGGTTCGAGTGTCCGTTCAACCTGGTTTTACTACTTTAGAGTACTATCCTGAAGCTTGGAGGTGCAAGTGTCGCAACAAACTCTTCATGCCTTAGACTGTACTACTCATGTTTCTTTCTTTCTTGATTCTCTACTTGCTAATTACTAAGCATTAGTTTCTTCTTCTCTTCTCCATCACACTGTGTATAAATCAGAAAAGATTGATCCAACAATACCTATTATTGTCACTTTTGGTTCAAATTAAATTGGACTTTTTGTAAGACTTTGACAATTCTCATTAAAATTTGTGAATTTCTAGCTAATTTCTCTTTCTCAAGAAAAAACTTTGGAAAAGAACTACTCCCTTGTCTAGTTTGCACCACTGGAATTTTCTCTTTTTCATGCGAGGGACAGAACGTTGGAAACGTAATATTATTGTTGAGACTCGAGATATGGCGTTAATTAATTCTTCACTCTTTGCTCACCCCCCTACCCCCCCCCCCCCGCCACCCCTTCCACCCTCCAAAAAACCCAAACACTGCTAATTAAGACTCAGACAATATGATTAAAATTTATCTGAATATGCCATGGATGTAGAAGTGTTCTATGTTGTTTGGACTTCTTAAAAATATTACTCGGGTCATGTTTATTGTATTTTTTGAGGATGTGTGACGACCCAAAGGGTTATCACCTGTATTCCAACTCACTCTGTATCTCTGAGGCCGTGAAAACCTCACTTGGGGGTTGCCTCGAATTTGTGTGCGCAGTCCGGGCGCGTAGCCGGAACGTTTATATATGAATTTGTGAGAAAGATAATAAAATTTTGATGTTTTAATTGATTAAGTTTGACTTCGGTCAACGTTTTGGGCAAACGGACCCGGACTCGTGATTCGACAGTCCCGGAGGGTCCGTAGGAAAATATGAGACTTGGGGGTGTGCCCGGAATCAAATTCCGAGGTTACGAGTCCGAGGAATGAATTTTTACGTGAAATTGTTTTCTGGAAATAATTAAAGAATTGGAAAGTGTTATTTGTTAGGGGGACCATGCTGTTGGGCTCGTATTTTGGTTCCGACGCCCAACACAAGTCTTAAATATGAGTTAAGCAATTGCTGTGAAGTTTGGTTAGATTTGGACGTCATTTGACGTGTTTTGAGCTAGCAACAGTATAATTTGATGTTTCATGAAAATTGGAAGGAAATCATGGGTCTTGAGGCCTAATTCGATGTTGTTTTGGCAATTGGATCGCACGGATGAGTTCGTAGGATGTTATTGAGTTAGTGTGCATGCTTGGTTTGGAGCCCCGAGGGCTCGGGTGAGTATTGAGTAGGTCCCGGGAGGCCTTAGGCTTAAAGTAACAGATGTTGCAGTGTTGCAGGCCCCAGCGCGGCCGCGGTCATTCCCGCGCGGTCCGCGCTGGAAGCCATGCGGCCGCGGTGCAGTCCGCGCGGTCCGCGTGGCCAGATTCAGAGGGGTCCTCGGCCTTGGTTTGACCAGCGCGGCCACGCACCAAGTTCGTGCGGTCCGCGCTGGGAGATTCAGAGAAGGCCCAAGGTGCAAGACACCAGCGCGGCCGCGCACCAAAATCGTGCGGTCCGCGCTGGGTAGGTTCAGAGAGTTATTTTCCCTCCCTTCCTCGGTGCGGCCGCGGGGCATTTTTGCGCGGTCCGCGCCAGTCCTTCAGCAAAGTATATAAATCTGAGATTTTCAGTCATTTTTCACTTTTTCAAACCCTAAAACATAAGAGGCGATTTTCCAAACGATTCTTCTCCTTCAAAACGATTGGTAAGTGATTTCTAACTTATTTTCTTTACTCCTTGACATCTTTAAACATAATTT